GGTTCATCTTCACCTGGTAATGGAGCATGTTTGACTAAGCCCATTTTTCCATCTTTTACAGATCCTTTACCTTAAAAGAATAAGTAATATTTATAGCTAAGAATCTATAAGTAATAAAATTTTAACCTCGAATGATAATTTTCGCATTAGTCTAAATATATCAAAAAATAGTTTATACAAAGAAATCAGCAAATGAACATACTTCTTTTTCTAACATTTTAAGTGTATTACCACGTGGTCCAATGATTAAACCAACAAAATTTACATCAGGATGATCTTCTTGTGGAATCATCACTTTATCCGTATATTTCAATTGTTGAGGCCTAAATAAATCTAATGTTAATAAAACAAAAATATTTCATATAGAACAAATATAACAGAATTCCAAGAATAATTCCCATTGACTTTTCAGACATAGTAATTTATCAATTAAATGACACTCACTTATAATCTCCTGGAGGTTTATAATCTGGATTCAGTGCAATTAATTCTGTAATAAATTGATGGCGTTGATCTTCAATTTTACGTCTTGTACGAACTTCACGAGTATTTTGTCTTTTTCCTTGTTGATCATAAATTGGTTCAGGTGATGGAGATCTAAAATAATTAATAAATATTTTTTTTTTTGTTTTCTATACATGAGAAAATAGCGCACTCTACTGTTTAGAATACAGTACTAGAATATAGATTAAAAAAAAAGAGAAAGATTAGTTTTTTACTTGCGAGCACAACGATAGGATAAAGATTTATACTAAATATAAATATATATGTTTTTTGCTCGATTTTATTTTCTCACCTTTCACTCGATTCAAGTTTGATATATGTTCAACGTCACATATACACAGGATGATAATATTAGAAAAGGAAGACCATTTTATTATTAGAGAAAAATTAACAATGAAATATAGGATACATTTCTGTGTAGATCTTGTATATTAGAAGATTATTTGTAGCACTAAATATAAAGCAAACAAAAAATAGAATTTTTTGTTTTATTATATGTTTTACCTAATGCAAAAAAAAAAATATTCAAAAGAAAAATCCATAAGGGAATAGAGAAAGAAGGAAGAGCCTTATGATAAATTAAATGAATATGTAACAAATTTAACCTGTTTCCAGGATTAGATGAAATATGTAAATCATTCATTTTTAGACGACGTGTTAATTCTTCAATTTGTAATTGTACTGAAAGAAAAAAACAACAATATAACATTATTTACATAAATTAAAATAAAAGAATAATTTACAAATATAGATTTTTTGTTGTTCTTCTGTCATATTCGTGGTTGAAATTGTTGTTGGCATATTAGGCAAAACAACTTTTACAGTTTCATCACCAATCCAACGTCTTTTACGTTGTTTTTTAATTTGTGTATTAGAACTTATTGAATCAGCTAAAAGAAAAAATTTTACGAACATTCTAAAATCGAATGAAGATTTTTACCTGGTGATTCATTTCCCGTTGGTGTTTTTATTGCTATCTCTTCTTCTTGTGATTCCATTTTAGCAGGAAAAGATGATGGTAACATCATAGAAGGTAATTGTGATTTGTTAAGAGAATTATTCTCATTGTCATTAGTTATTTCTTCTTTTTTATTTGAAACATTCGATGATAATGATGAATCTCTATCATTTGATTTTTGTGATTGTTTATGAGTTTTTTTGTAACTTGTTGAAGGACTTCGACTACGTGAACGAGGACTACGAGATGGCATACTAAATGACATAACAATAAGGAATAGATTAATCTATAAATATAGGAGATGTATTATGAAATTAATAAAATTTCTAAAAAACAAAACATCAACTTCTAGCATTCATTTTTTTTTTGGCTGATATCCTCTTCTCTTAAAATATAATAGATTGGACAAACTCGTTATTGTGATGTCGCTAAAGTGCAGTGCAACATTTTCTCACAAAGGATCTTAAAAATAGTTGTTTGTTAAAGAAAAATCAATAAGAATTTTGTAAGATTTAAAATAAAAATATATCGATTGTTTTTTAATGAGATTATTCTTGATTTATGAGATAGTGATTCATCAAAAAATACACATTGATATACATAATCCTTTTTTTATTAGCTATTTTTTTTCTGATCGAATATTCACATATGTTTTTCCTATTTATTATTTCCAATTAGTTTTGGTTGTAATTCAACTTTTTTGTTTTAAAAAAAATTACGGAATAAAAGAAATTTGTGGCGTCGTCTACAAAAGTATCTTGAATCTTTTTTTTGTGAAAGATATAAATAGGAAAAACAAGTAGATATTATTCTATCAAAAATTTATCGAATAGAATTTCTATGAATGTCAAAAAAAACCACTTTAGAATCATCTGACTACGGATAATCTTATTTAATAACGAATTGTATTCAGCAAAATGCATATTAACTACACACACTGCTTCAATTCAATGGTACTTAAGGAACAAACAAGTAAATTATTTTTTCTTTGAAATGACAAAGAATACGTTAGAAATGTTGAATGAAATTTTTTAAGAAAGTTTCTGATCGTGTAAATCTGATAATATTATTTGTGATGACGAGGACAATCGTATAAATCTCGCTAAGCAGATGTTGGTCGATATGCTAGATGATAAAACAGTTTTGCTGAATTGTTATTGACACATATATTCATCAGTTATGTAATTCAGTAAAAGAAATTTAATTCATTATGAATGTCTCACAATTGATTTCACAATCTAGAAAAAGTTCGATTAATTCTTTGTTTGATATTCGAGAACTCTTCTTGATTGCCTATATGCTTGTTGTATTTGAATTTTAAAACGATCAACCATCTAAGAACTACATTTTTCGTAATGAATGATTCTTCATTTTAATATATGAAGACTTTTTGTAAACATAATTTTTACAGTACGATGCTGTCATCATATTTTTTTAATGTTTTGTTTTAATCAACTTAACATAAAAAGAAAAGAAAAATATCTAGGGCAACAACTATGAGTAATAAACACGAGCATATTTCTACTTCGCAAAATATGACAAAACAAATTATTATCACTTAACTTTCTAGTTAAGACAATATAGGGTTGTGAAATATATATGATATTTATGATCGTCTGTTGATAAAAATTGTATTACTAATAAGTAAGATAGAGAGAGTAACTAAATGTCGAAAATTGAAAATGTCAAAAAGTATAAGTCCTTGTAAATCCTTGGTTAAAAAAAAACTTTTTCTCAGTTTTGATCAATAGAATGTAATATGGCATGCATGCATGCGTATAGTACAACAGTGAGAGTGAAGATGAAATCTATGACTAAAAAGGATTTGCATTTTCGGCATTCTGCTTTCGACATTTAACCATTAAACCGTTAGATATAACAATAATTATATACATTTGATTGAAATTTATGTCTTCTTTTGCAATATTAATATGAATTTCATCGAGATATACACGAGTGGCAATGTAAATGCATCAAGTTTATTTTTCCATATTGCAGTAATGCCATTCCTAGTTAATATCGTCTAAAAGAATGTCTTAAAAGATTCTTGAAAAAATTTCTAAGAAATTAAGACAGGAATTTTTTGAAATTCTACGATAAGAATTATGATTACTGTAAACAGTTTATATACAATGATATTTATCATCGTATTTAAATGTACTCCATATCAAAAAGGTGAGGAGTGACTTTCTTTTTCTCGTTCCCGTCGTAAATAGAAATATGTAATTGATTTGTTTTTTTTTTCGAATAATATTTATTGTTGTAGAGTTGTTCTTGTGATTAATCTAAATAAAATGGAACAGATTTTTATTTTGTAAAGTAATACTTATCATCTCTAAATCATTGTTGAAATCAATCGTAATCGAAACAATAGAATCGATTTTCTTGAGTTGATACTCACCATTGATATTGCTGTTAAGATTAAGTTAGGCACTCTCTAATATGTTTCTCACATAGTCTTCGGAGGTTTAGTTAAAGATTTCTCAGTGATTCATTCAGAAGTCTCTAGGATGATTGTGAAAATGAGAACCAGTTGACGATATTGATTCGTTCATTTTCCATTATTAATTACATTGAAATCGATCAACTCTTTTTGTATTCATAAACATTGAAAGCACACATATTTTATTAGAGATACAAAAAATGCCATAAAAAAGAAACTGATTATATTTTTTTATTGTAATTCTAATTTTTATTTCTCTTCGATTGTGGTCTACTCAGGAATGTTTTACTTATTTACGTTTTAAATCGATTATTGAGAACAAAAAATTAGTAATACTATGATGAAAATGGTCTTTTTCATTCGAGCTCGTCACATATGTTATCAAAATTGATACAGATGTTCTTGCTTTTATGCATAGTATTTATCAGATTGATAATCGATTATGGAAAGCGAGCTACTAATTAAACAAAAAAGTCTAACAAAAATGGATATCCACCAAACCAAAAGAATACAAAAACAAAATTCAGATGTCTTCTTTCAACATTATGTTATTTTTATTACACTCAAATCAATTTTATCAAGCCTATTCTATCGATCGATCGTCAGTATATGCAACCTATCGGCAATCATGCCAGTGACACATCAAATATCATAAAGTTGTCTTCATCTTAAGAATGTAAATTTTCTGTCATCATAAAAAAACATTACAGCGTATTAGTTCAATCAACAATTGATCTTATTAGCAAAAAAAAGCTCATAAGTTTCATTCTATACATTGTATTTGATGTCACATTATTCCTTTTGCGTCTACAGCAAGAAAGGTTTTGATTACTAACGCCACCTATTCCATATTCCTCATATCGGAAGACATAAACATATATCTATCATCCATTCGTATTCGTTATTAGTCAAAAGGTTTGCCCATGAGATGGTCGCTCATTGTTCGTCATCCGATAATTTGTCTTATTTATTGTTGATGATTCTCCTGGTGGTTTATGAAACCAACTGTTTTCCTATGTCAATTAATAAAAAAAAATTTTTTTCTTGGTTATTTTCAGAATGCGTAACAAATTACAAGTTTAAAATAAAAAAGATATGAGTAACGATACGGGTAAATCACCCGTTGAACAAACTCAATCATCTTCAATAAATTCCGAAATAAAAATTTTTTATTATATTGATGATCAAGATCCTCCTTATTTAACAAAATTAAATCTAACCGAATTACCACGTTTAAAAGATTTTAAAAATGCTCTTGATCGTAATTGTACAAAATATAAATTTTTCTTTGCAACAAATGATCCATCAATTGGAAAAGTTAAAGAAGAAATAACTAATGATGAACAAATTTTACCATTTGATACACCAGACCGTATTCTTGCTTATCTTGTTTCAACTGAAGGTAGTACAACATCAAGTGGTGGTGGTGGCGGTGGTGGTGGAGGAGGAGGAAATAAACAATCAAAACATCATCATCATCATCAGCAGCATCATGAACGTGATGATACAATGACAACATCAACAACGAGTAGTTCATTTAATATACAACAACCACGATTACAACGTACGAGTCGACGTTATGGATCAGCAAATAGTGCTGATCATCAAAAATATTTTCCTAAACAACAACAACGAGCTATTAATGATGATGTTCCATCATTTCCAAATAGTGATATAGAATCAACAACATTTTTAGATGAAACTGAAGATGATAGGTTTGTTGAATTTTTTTTCTTCATAAAATGAAATTGTTTCTTTTTTATTAGTAGATATTCAACTGTTACAGATTCAACAGCAATGTCATCAAGATATCATGGTTATAATCGACCTCGTAGACGAAAACATCGATTACCATTGGGACTTGATCGAGTAAATTTTCTTTCTCTGTTATTTTGTTTCTTATTTTTTTAAATTTATTTCATTGTATATCTATTCAGACTTCATCATTTAGTAGTCTTAATTCAGATTCAACAATGACATTAAATATAATAACGGTAACACTTAATTTAGGTATGTATATTTATTTAATAATTTTTGTTTTCTATTGAAAAAATTTACAATGAATGATTTTATTTTTCTTTTAGATGCAGTCAATTTTTTAGGTATTAGTATTGTTGGTCAAAGCGATAAAACAGGGGCAAGTGATGGAGGAATTTATGTTGGATCAATAATGAAAGGGTAAAAATAATTTATTAAATCAATAATATACACAAACAGAGACATCAATTTATTTTTTTCATTCAGAGGAGCAGTAGCTCAAGATGGCCGTATTGAACCTGGCGATATGATTCTTCAAGTAAATGATATTAGTTTTGAAGGATTATCTAATGATGATGCCGTTAAAATTCTTCGTGAAGCTGTACAAAAACCGGGGTATGTATATACTGGAATGAGCCGCAAATGACTTTACTGGAGAAAAATTTGAATATCTCCGACATTTTTGAACCAAATGAACTAATTCTTTTTTTTTATCACTGATAGGAAAGTGTTCATCGGTCATATCCATAAGAAAAACATTTACAAGAACTGCTTTAAAATACTACCCTTGATTTGAGTAAAAACTGTAGCTTTAAACAAGTTTACAAAAAGTAGTAGCTATTAATGGCTGAAACTTTTAAAGTACGCTGAGTAATAAGACATGCATGTACGATATAAATTTGAGACTTAACAACAATGGTTTGAAGAATTAATTGAAAAAATAACATATATCGTTCACTTTTTTTAAATTGAAATCAAAGGTAGCACTTCGAAAGCAGTTCTTTTAAATGTTTTTCTTATAGATATAACCTACGAACATCTCTCTATCAGTGGTTAAAAAAAATTCATTTAGTCCACCATGTATATAAATCTATACTTATAAGTTTTCAATTACTTTTTCAATAATCTAGACCTATAAAGTTGGTTGTCGCTAAATGTTGGGATCCAACACCACGTGGTTATTTTACATTACCACGTCATGAACAAGCGCGTCCTGTTGATCCACTATCATGGCTTGCACATACACAAGCCGTACAAAATACATACAATAATCCTCAACATCAATTATTACTTCATCAACAACCAAATTATAGACCATCAATACTTAATTCAACAGGAAATATGAATTCAACTATATCAAGTACAAGTAATACAATGGTTGATAATGAAAGTAAAAAAATTTTTTTTTTAGTATTGTTTATTTTATTGATCATTAAGTTTTCTTTTTCTCTTGGGGAAAAAAGATTGTGGTTTTAATCTTAATTTAACTGTTAATTCGGATATGGATACAATTGTACGAGCTATGGCTGAATCCGATTCTGGTCTTGATATACGTGATCGAATATGGCTTAAAATACCGATTCCAAAATCATTTCTTGGTTAGGAAACAAAAATTTTATTTTTTATTAATTTAATTGATAAATAATATATATATATATAGGATCTGACTTGGTTAATTGGCTGTTTGAACATGTTGATGGATTTGTTAATCGAAATGATGCTAGAAAATATGCTTCATCAATGCTTAAAGCTGGCTATATTCGACATACAGTTCATAAACTGACATTTGCTGAACAGTGTTATTATGTTTTCGGAGATCTTTATTCACAAGGTAGGATTATTATGATAAACAAATTGATATAGAATTCACGTGTAAATAGAAGCAATACATGTATAACTGAAATAAAAAGTATTGAATGGTTTCTATTAACATAGAGTTCATTAAGAAGAAAAAAAATGCTTCATTGCTATACATATGTCAACTCTGATGTTAATGAATACGAAAACTAATGAATTGTGAATGATTGTTTTGCAGAAAATCTTTCTAATTGATTGGAAAAAAAAACTTTATCATGACATATTTATCAATTAAGGCTTGTTTTTTTCACAGAAGAACCCACATTTAGCAAAAAAAATTCTTCTGCAAAAGTTTATATACATATTATTAATGAAAATAATGAGAAAACCTTCTGTTGCATATCATTTATCCAATGAATAAACTAATACTTTTACAATAATGAAATTCTTTCATTACACTGATTATGTCTTACGAGGGAAAACTTCCAGCTGATAAATAGCTTTTGAGTCAAGACTATATGTATTACTTAAGCCTTAGTGAGGTATGGATACACTGAAAAGAGTTCGTCCCTTTAGCTTATTGCTGGTAACATACCACACTTTTACGATGGTTTTTAGTTGATGCTGTGGTTCCTCTCAGAAACATGAGGAAAACTGATTTTCAAATTTCGATTTGAATCTTTGCATAGAGATAGGCCTTAACAAAAATAGTTTATTATGAAAGTTTCACATCATTTCGTTGTTCCTATCCTAAGATATAGCTATGGTTGAAGCTTGTCTTTTACACTGCTCATATATACCAGCAGGTTTGATGTTTTTATTTCAGACAAGGTGCAAATCAAAAGATCGAAAACAATTACAATACACTAGTCTCATTAGTGTCTGTCTCTATGCAAAGTTTCAAATCGAGATTCGCAAAATAAATTTTCGTAGTGTTCCCGTTATGGCAAGGTTTTCATAGAAAAATCAGAAAGAAGAAATTTTTATTTGAACTTCTGACCATAAATAGGTATATCTTGAAAGTTTCAGTCAAAGCAGATAGTTCTTTCTTGATGTATTGAATATTGAAGAAATATTGGCTTTATGACATTTTTTGGTGGCATATAATTTTTTTTTTTGTTTTTTGAATATTCAATATTTCGAGAAGAAACTATCCATTTTGATTGAAACTTACAAGATATACCTATTTATGGTCAGAACTTCAGGTGAAAATTCTTTCTTTTTGATTTTGCTATGAGTATCTAGCCATGAGTCGAAAATTCAATAGCACGCTCATAAATTCATAAGGAAGACATCTGCAGAAAAATTCTTTTAGACTTTTTCTAATCTCACTGAGTTCTACTTATACTTCGATTGTTGATGAACAGTTTAATATATTCCCTCGTAAGCTAGGCTTAATATATATATATATAAATCGAGTTCATATATTTATTTTTAGGTATATCTCAATTAACACTTGACGAAGAACCTGAAGAATATGAATCTGTTTCGGATCACACAAGTACTGATCATCGTAGTGGAGATTCATTATTAGTTACACCACGACAAAATACTGTAACAACATTTGGTTTTGTCGATAAAAATAATACTCCACTTCAATCACCTTCTCATTCTTTAATTACTGATACACATAACTCAGGTGAGATACATACAAGAAAAAAAGCTCAAATCAATTAATATTTTATTATTTTGCACAATATGTCCCATGCACTATCTGTATTATATCTAGTTATGTTAATGAAAAATTCTCATTGTCGACATTTTTCATGCTTGGATCCGACGATAATATGCAGCAATAATGATGAGAATACTTTAAAAACATCTTCATCACCTGTTGAAGTTTAATTATATTATAATTATTGTTATTATTATCATTCAATATTAGCCAAATGTCAACGGTGGTGCTGCAAAAAATATTATTTTCTCTATTCATTTTTCCTTCTCTCACTTTGTGTCACAAATATGTTTTTTTTTGCAATAAAAAAACTCTCAATGCTTTTTTTTTTGTAGTCAAATATATTCTCATAATTATTATTTGTTTCAGGTTATGCTGGTGTTAAATCATTTTCAACATCAAAAAATAGTAATGAAACTCGACAATCAGTTGATATACCTAATAAATTACGTTCCAGTAGAGAATCATTTCAACATGCGATGACAAATCCATTACCACAAGAATATTTTGTTGATGTTATATAATTTATCAGATAAATTTTGTTTGGGTTGTTGTTTTACTGTATACAATTTTCATTGTAGTATTAGAAATATACATTTATTTTGATTTTTGACACTTGTTTTTCACCGAAAATAAAATATTAGCTGTTTTTTTTTTGGTTTGTTTCTATAGATGTTTAGTACAAGAAATTCATTACAACGTCGAACAGGTCGTTTTGGTGTTGGACGTTTTGAATATTTAAAACAATTATTAAATGAATATGAACATTCATTAACAAATAATGAAAATAAACTTCAATTACTTGCAAATTTTGCTAATTTTTCTTATGATCCAATAAATTATAATTATTTACGAGAATTAAATATAATTGATTTATTTCTTGATTGTTTACAAATGCATACAGATAATGATGATTTTGTACATTTTGCATTAGCTGGTTTATGTAATATGAGTACAGATAAAAAAAATAGTCAATTAATTATTGAAAAAAATCCATCAATATTAATTTGTTTAATAAAATGTTTTTTTTCAAATCGATTAGATATTGTTATGAATTCAATGGTAATATTAATGTTTTTATGTGATCATAATGAACAAATTAAAAATGAATTATTACAACGAAATGAAATACGTCAATGTTTAGAGAAATATTCACAATCCAAAGATATTAGATTATCAAACATGGCAAAATTATTTTTACAAGATTATTTTTTAATAAATTAAAGACAATAAAAAGTGGATGATCGTGTTTTTCTACCGATGAAAATTGATCTGATAAATATAATTTTGTATATTTTGATATTGGTCGAAACAAAAAAGAAAAACAAATTTCATGTAATGAATAGACGTACAAATAAATTGTTTTGTTTTTTTTTAATTAATTAATTTATAAATTTTCATTTATTCTACATCTCATTTAATATGCTCTCTTATCTTCAGATATGGATGATATATTTGATGAAACCGGTGATGATCTCACAGTAGCTCGACATGATACTCAATTAATTGAAACAAATCGTTTTAAAGATGGTTTTCGTGAAGGATGGGAATCAAGTGAACAAGATGCATTTGAAAATGGTTTTATTCGTGGTTATTCTCTTATAGCATCACTTGTATATGATTATAATTTTGAAAAAGAACGTTTATATTTACAAAATCCTTCAAATTCATTATTAAAAAGAGAATTTCAACAATTTGATATTGAATTTCAATCAACTATAGCTCAATTAAAAATTCCTGATGAACTTAATGAAGAACAACAAATTGAAACTATAAAACGATTAAGAATGCAATTTGATGAACTTCTTTTAAAAATAAAATTTCAATTAATATCAATTAAATCTGTATAATGTTTTCTATCGTTTTGTTTTCTTGATTTTAGATGTCTACTCATCTTTTCTTTCTCTATTTTTTAATCATTCCAACTCTTGTTTACAGTCAATGTTATTCAACATCATCTCGAACATGGATATGTAATGGTTATTATAGATCAAATAATTTGACTTATCAAACAATTTTAAATAATCAACAATTAGAAAATTTCTTTTTAACTAATTATAAAACAGCAATATTTCGAATAGATAATTATCCATTAACATTACGTTTATTAAATGCAAGTGGAAATCAATTTCAATCAATAATAATAACATCAAAAAATCGTTATAAATCAAAACTTCGTCAATTAATACTTCAATCAAATAATATTGAACAATTTAATATTGATACAATTGTTTTACCGTATTCATTAGAAAAAATTTCTTTAGCAAATAATAAATTAAAAATTATTGATGCACGTCTTTTTTCTCATTTAAAAAATTTAATTGCAATTGATCTGACAAATAATCAATTAAAACGTATTTTACCAGATTTATTATTAAATAGATATATTAAATTAGACAATAATCCACTCGGTTGTCAATGTACTTCAGAAACATATAGAATTATGTGTGAAAAAGCAACAAATATTAAACGAACGACAGTAAGTCGGAAGAAAGAAAAAATCTAAACAAGATCAACTTCAGACTATTATCGGAAGTCGATCTCGATAAGAGATGAATGACAGTTCACACATATTTATACCCATGGGTCAGTGTTTTATTCAGTGTGGAATTAAGGAGAAGGCGTCCCTCCAAAGATCGAGTTGACCCTCCCCAAGTTTGTGATTCTGATATTAGATACTATGTGTCTGTACTTTCAATAATAAGTGTTCACCCTCCCGAAATTTTGAATTACGTTTCCGGAAGAAAAACATCTGGATAAAACACTGTCAGGAATATTAGAGAATATTTTACTAAAACTCTAGTTTATAGAAGGATATTTAGGGAAACATTCATATTGAGGAATTTTTCGTACATGAATAGATTTCGTCAGTTTTTGGTTATCTTAAAATTTTCAGTTGAAAATCAATGCTTTCTTTCATCTAATAAATCTCCTCAATACTTTTTTTTTTTTTTGTTAATAATATGAAATTCATTATTTTCTATTTTATGTTTTTCGTATCAAGCAAAATAATTTATTTAGATTGAAAGTAATAATTGTATGGCACCATATTATCATCCTCCTGCATATGATCCATTAATACCATCATATTTTCGTTTTTCAACATTGATTCTTATCTGTCCAATTAGTGCTCAACCACCACCTGTAATTATCTGGTCAACACCATTTGGTAATCTAACATCAATTAATTCAACTAATATTGATTTATTACCATCAAATAATAATGATGAACCAATTTATGTCACATTAATAGCTTTAGCTGGTCCATTAACAGCTCGTACACTACATACATTACATGCATTTAATGAAAGTCGGTTATCTGTAACACAAGCACGTGCTGCTTTACAACATCGTATATCATGTTCTGGTATAAATATGCTTGGTACATATTCATATGAATTTAATTTTGATATTGTAACTTCTGTACAAAGTCATGCTTTATGGCACATTATTTATACAATGAGTTTTGGATTTTTTATGGCACTTGTTGCTGGTGCATTATGTGTTACATTAAAACGTACATATTATAATTGTGATAATATAACAACTCCACCAATTTATCCAACAATGACACCAAATAGTGCTGCACGTACACCACCAAATTTTGAACTTAATCAATGGTTATCATTAGCAGCAGCTAATATTAGTGGGACACTTGAACAAGTACGTGATAAACTTCGATTAGGTGTTCAACAAGTTAGTGAACATATGGGACAAACAATGGGTCGTGCTACAGAATTATTTACTTATGGTGTACAACATGCCGGTGGAACTATTCGACAAGCTGCTGAAACGTAAGTTACTATCATAGTTTTTAAAAAAAATCAAAAAAGAAATTTTTTTTATTTATTTAAAATTTTAAGTTCTGCTGCATATCTTCATTCATTTCGTGAAACAAGTCAACATCGTTTAAATACTATGCGTGTACAAACATTATCATCATTACGTAATCCAGGTAATTTAATGCGTGCTGGTATGAATATGCTTACAACACAAGTGAATTCTTTACGTGATTATTGTGGCGTTACAACCGGCCATCCACTTCCATCAAATTATGCAATTCAACAACAACAACTTCGTGATTTACGATATTCACCAGGACCAATGTCAAATTTACGTCATAATCAAGTATCAACTATAATTGAAGAAGATGAATCTATTGTTGAATCAACATCATTAATAACAGTAATGTATCGTACACCTTATGTTGGACATACATCAACAATAGTATCAAGTAATGCATCAGGTATTGGTCAACTTGATACAGCTGATAATTCAGTATTATTAGCACTTAATAATTTTAATCCATTATCAACAAATAATATAATAGATAATGATAATTTAATAGCTCGAGGACAAATGAGTGCAGGTATTGGAACATTTCATGGTCATATACATGATGCTGACGATGATCTTATTAATGAACCAGAACGATTAACTATCTACGGTGCACAACGTCCAGCTTGTTAAAAAAAACCAAAGAAAAGCATTTATTTATGGATCTCTTTTTTTATGCTGTCAGATTTTTTCAAAGAAAAATATAAATCTAACGCAAATCTTTTGTTTTATTCTTGCTATTACAGTCACGCTTATGCAGTCACGAACGTCTGACATTGAAACATCTATTGTCTTGAAACATATATATATGTATATATCGCACAGTGATTAAAGCTTTGAGTCGCGTGTTCTTTTGCTTTTAACCTATTTTTAATTTTTGCTTGTATATAATAATATATTTGCTAAATAAAGAAAGACAAAAAAAAAACAATTATTTACATATTTTTAAAATCATCTTTTCGTTTTTTTTTGTTTTTTTTTCTTTCATTTTCAAATATTTTAGTATAATGAATGTTATTGATAATGTACGTCGTGCTTTTCGTTCAAAATATTCATTTGATATACAATCGACATGGTTACAACCATGTCTTGCTTGGTTACGTGATCAATTTCAAATAACAGAATTAACTAATAATTATACACTTGAAAAAATCTATACTCAATGGCTTCATACAGATATTGCTCTTATTGCTGATGCATGTTGTTTACCAAATGATTTAGATTTAAATGCAAAAAAAATTCAATTAAGTGGAAAATATGCATTACAAGTAACTAATTTCAAATTTTTTCTTTTATCTATCGAGGAAATTAATTATAACAAATGTATCGAAAGTTTTTTGTTTTAGACAAAATGTTCTTTCAGTTTTCTACTGATTAAAAGAATCAACGGAAAGTATTAAACATTTGGTTAGAATTAGAATTTTGTGCTCTTGTTGAAACTATGTTCAGAATCTTTGTGAAACTCATAGGTTGGGAGTTATGAGCAAATCTTTGAAACACCTGAAAATAAAGTCTAGTTGTTTTTTTTTATTCTTAATTAAATATCCAGGATAGAAATGACATTTATCCTAAATACATCAATAGAACGAGCAAATATTTCTCTACAAAAAAAAATATTCTGATCATCTGTTTTCTATTAGATATTTATCAATCATGAAAACTAATGGGATATGAACAAACCTTGAGATTTGTGCATGACAAGAAAAAGAATAAAAGTTCGATTCGAGTTCATAATTTCTTGATTTTCAAACTTACAAGGTGAACTCGATTGTTTCTGGCTGATAGCTGCAAGACCTTCAGTTCTTAGCTGACTTTATAGAAGACAGGCTCGACCTTTATACTATGCAAAAAATCAGTAATAGAACGTGTGTAATAAGGGTCATCATTGTAGAGGAAGAAATCTATTATCCAGATGTTGATTCCAAAAAAAAACTCAAAACAGAGGATTAAACGAAGAAAGCAGCATTTTTACGAAAGTAACGGAAGAAATCATTGACTAACAGTATGAAATCAATTTCCAATAGTATGCGGTTGTATTCTTCATCTTCGTCAAAACTTTATTTTCAGACCTTTCAAAGATTTCTTTACTCATAAGATTTGATCTATGAGTTTCATAAAAATTCTAAACATAGTTTCAAAAAGAGCATAAAATTCTAATTCTAACCAAACGTTTAATATTTTCTGTCGATTCTTTTAATCAGTAGAAAAAACGAAGAAACATTTTGTCCAAAATCTTTCGACGCATCAGTTATTATACAAAAAAAAGAAAACCGTGGACATTTAGTGATTATGAGTTTTCTTCTACGTTGTATTTCATTGATTTGACTTGTTTTCCTCATAAATATTAATTTCTATTTCTCATTATAGATCAATAGTATATTATGTATATCTGAATCATACTATAGTCAAGTATTAGATATACATGGTGATCAAAATGAAAATGAACGAATTGATACAGATATAACTGAAACTCAGCAATGGAAAGTGAGTGAGTGTTTTTTTTTCTGATTTGTTTATTTAAATCAATAAAAAATAAAATTTTCTATTATAAATCCTTTAGCCACCACCAACTAAACGTGCTCTCTATTTGGAATTAACTGATGGTAAAACAATTCTTCGTGGATTAGAATATGAAACAATTAGTGGTCTTGATCGAGATTCAACATTACCGGGTGCAAAAGTATTCATATTCTTCTTAACAATTTAATTTTTGCATAATTACTTAATTTCTTCATAGATTCTTGTAACTGGTCCAATACTTTTTCGTCGAGGAATGTTACTTTTAACACCTAAAAATACAAAAATACTTGGTGGTTATGTTGAAAGTTTACTTGATAAAAATACTTCTATTGAAACAGCATTAACTTCATTGTTAGTTTAATTAATTTTTATACATAAAAGACAAATATCGTCGATGAATCTTTTTTTCTTTTACATAGATCAAAAACAGCATCAAAATTAGATGAAAGCCGAATGCGATTTAATCGATTAAATATTAAAGTTCATCCACCGATTGTTTCTAATGATTCAACAAATAGAATAACTGATAGACAAACAAATCAAGATGTTAGTTTAAATAATTATCAATCTATTCAAATTTTTTTTTTCTAATTATTTAGAATTTTCATGACGATGAAGATGAAATGGATGAATTCATTCGACAAGCATATGCTGATGGTATGCTTAATGATGATAGTCATGTAGCTCCAGAATCTATTGATTATAATCCTCCTCCTCCTTCATCATACAATACTATTCAACCATCTACTACTACTACTAATCGAATTCCAACACCAATTGATCAACCAGAAGAAGTGATTTTAATTTCGGATGATGATGATGATAATTACTTACTACAAACAAATATTCCTCCAACAGAATCATCATTATCTGATAATCAAATATCTGATGTTTCTTCTTTTGCACCTCCATCATCACCACCACCACCACCACCGGTACGACCTTCAATTCCTAAAGTATCTTTACCTTATACATATTTATCTCTTATTCGTCATCAAATATCTCAATCGAATAGAAATTATCAAGATTTTATAATAAAAGGATGTTTTTCATCATTAGTTACAAATCCACGTGTAATTAAAAATGAATTTGATTTACTAGCTTATGTTAATGATGGTAGTGATTGTTTACTTGTTCAATTAGCATCTGATCTTCTAGCTCATCGTATTGGTATAACTGTGTTAGAATTAATGATAAAACGAAAAGAATGTAAAAATGATATAGATAAACAAAAATTTCAAACAGATTTTAATGAACGTTTAAAAAAATTTGGTCATGGTATGGGACAGATAAATGCCATAATGACAATAAGATTCTTTTCTAATAATGAAAAACCAACGGTGATTAACATTGATGAAAGCTAGTCAGATATTATTTCTTTTTAAATCAATATATATATATTTTTCTTTTTTCTTTTCTTGTATATTAAACTGTTTATTGAACATATGGATAGAATAGTGAAATAAAGATTTCTATCTTTTTTGTTCTTATTTCAGATGATGATCGACGAATTATCATCGTTTTCGAAGACAACATAAAGTTGTCATGTAAGTTAAAAAATCAATATGATGTCTTCGATAAAATGGAATATCGTTCTAGATGACTTTAGTGTAAATCTAAATAGGTTTCGAAAATAATGCATGAAATCAGCATGTGCTTAAGAAAAAACTAATGCGATTATCTTCAAGTTACAGCTTTGTATGAACATCAAAACAAGATCTTGATTAAACTAAAAATAAAAAGACAAGGACTATTGTCGTGCCATGTTCTATCCTTGATAAACAAGCAAAATTAATTGATATATTTTAATGAAACACGATCCAAAAGGAATGTTGAAGTGTAGAAGTCAAAATTGGAATCCTCTTCGCATCACAGATCCGAGTGGAAAACAGCACGAACTTCAGCCTTGAAGTCTGCTGGTTCCTTCTCTCACAGTCCGTATACCAATAACATCTCGTTATAAAAAATGAACTACTTCCTTATTGTATTTTTTGAGGATTAAGTAAAAGGATAGTGAAGAAATGCATCTAAAAATAGATAGAATAAAACAATCTCTCTATAATTAGCTATCATAGCTATATTGTGTTTTACATTTTAATCCTATACAGATTATGCTAATAACTTTTTGATAGAGAGCTTTCAGAACTGATATTCAATAGATTTTAAATTGTATTTTTTTCTTGCTTTGATCGATAAATTTATTATGGCACTCAAACATATAAATCTTGCAATAAAGAGAAAATGTTTCACTATGTTGAAATAAAAGATAACTCGTATTTATATATTTTACCATTTCAATTTAAAAAGTTTTAGCAAGTTAAAAACTAATAATCAAACTATCTGTGACAAAAAAGGTCTTTTGATATAAGGACGATCATGTCTCACAAAGAATGAGTCATAAGCAGAAACCTTTGCTTTTTTTATCTTATCTTATCAAGATCTGTTTATTGTTTTACTACAAAACTGTAAATGATGAGATAATTGAAGTAATTGTTTGATTTTATTTACAAAATCAACAACCGAAATTTAGAATATTATTTTTATCTTATATTCATTTAGTAGCAAAAAAAAATACAATTGAAAATCAATTTGTAGATAATCAATATTTTTATTACCGTATGCAAACATCATTACTATCACTTCAATCAATAACAGTCAATTTGGATTCACCATATAAAATATCCACTGAACAACTTCATGTATTACAAACAAGTAATATTTCCATATCATTTCGATTTTTACGACCTGGAGATCAATCAGAAGTAAAATCTCTTTGTTGTGATTGGTTTCCTATTGAATATCCTGATCTATGGTATGATGATATTGTACATGATACAAGATATTTTGCTTTAGCTGCATGTGAAAAAAATACACAACGAATAGTAGGTTTAGTTGTTGCTGATATACTTCCATTAGGTAGTTGTAATCGTGAAGATCAACAAATTTTACATAAATCATTTCCATTAACAACACCTGTTTGTTATATACTAATATTAGGTGTTGAAAAAGAATATCGACGACAAGGTTTAGCTGGTATTTTATTACAACAATTATTAAATACATTATATGAACGTGCAACATGTAAAGCTGTTTATTTACATGTTTTATATTCAAATAGACAAGCTATTAAATTTTATCAATCAAAACAATTTCAATATCGTGTACATTTACCCCATTATTATTGTATAAAAGGTGACAATTTCGATGGTTATTGTTTTGCTCTTTATATCAATGGTATATATTGAATTTTCTTGTCTTTCTTTTTTTAAATTATAATATAAAATTTTCTTTTTATTTAGGTGGTCATCCACCATTTACTCTAAGTGATTTCTTTTCCAATTGGTGGACCTATTTAACAGGAACAAGTCCTTGTCGTTTACTTCAAACATTAGGGCATTTTGTTGCAAATAGGTTTATATTTACAGATAATCATCAACGTACTTCATCTTATAAGCAAATATCACGAATTATTTGATCTCCATGACATATATATACATGTATACTCGACTTATTTTTCGTCCAAATAATGTAATACGAAATAATTGGCAACAGAAAAGAATATTAAACAAAAGCGTTCTGTTTTTCTTTTCTTTTGTATCTTTTTTCTTCTTACAGTGATTAAAATTCATTTTCGTTTTATTTCTATAAAATCTATAGTAGACTATTTTATGAAAAAACAAAAACAATTCTTGCATTTTATTCAATAGAATTCTCATTCCAGATTGATTAAAACAATGAAATGCCATTGGTTCAGGTCAGGAAATAATAAGAAATGCTTACGGTTGATTCGCTGCTATTAATTAAAAATAAAAAAAAGATCTAGATGAGGACATATTTTTCTTTAAGGTCGTAATACTTTATTTTGGCCGTCTTCGAGAACTCATTGGTACATCAAGTGAAAAAATAGATTTTGATTCTTCGATTTCCTATACACAACAAACTATTCTTGATCATATTGTTCAATATCATCCAATGTAAAGAAAAATAAAAAAAAAGAAATAATAACTTTTTTCTCTTTTTCTTTACATGACTTATTATTTTCTAATGTTTAGTTTAAAATCTTTTTTGAATACAAATTCTTTTCGATTGGCTGTTAATCAACAATATCTACTTGAGACTGATTTAGTTCGATTTAGTGAGCAAAGTGAAATAGCACTTCTTCCACCATTTGGTGGCGGTTAAAACAACACAATGAACTACGTAAATCTTCAAACTGAACCAATCAAACTAGACGAACTTTATAAAAAAGTTATTGCGCCTTCGTGTGGTGCTGTGTCATCTTTTATTGGTTTGTATTGATCTTATTTTTTACATATCTATATATATAGATAGATGCATATTTTCGGTTCATTAATCGTTTTTCTTCGTGCATAGGCATTACAAGAGACAATTTTGAAGGTCGTCGAGTTTCTCGTCTTTCCTATGAAGCTTATGAGCCAATGGCTTTACAAGAATTGAATCGTTTATGTGATGATGCTCGGCGACAATTTGCTAATATTGAACACATAGCAATTTGCCATCGCTTAGGGTTAGCATTTAATTATTAGTATTTCGAAAAGAAACAGAACAAAATGAAAGCCAAAAATTAATGATAAAAATGCCTTTTATGTTAAGATAAAATGGGAAGCTACAGATCGATTAAAAAGATGAGACTGTCATGAATTCATTCATTTTGTTTTTTGAAAATACAATTTAGTACCCTTCACAATTTGTCAATAGGGACACAGATTAGAAAAACAGATTTTTCTCTTGTCTTTAATACACATAATTTTTCTTTTGTATTTCTATGTATGTAGCGACGTTTCAATTAGTGATATATCCGTTGCTATTTATGTTTCTGGGCCTCATCGGCGTGACGTTTTGGACGCCGTTTCCTTTCTCATCGAACAACTCAAATCAAATGTTCCCATATGGAAAAAAGTAATGTTTCTCGTTTTTTTTTTCTTATTCGTTTTCTTCTTCATCTTATATATATACAAAAGCTCAATTCGATTATTTTGTGTAGGAGTTCTACGAAGATTATGAAGACAACAGCAATAACAACATGTCAACATCTTCTTATAGTTGGAAAGAAAATAAATAAAGTTTTTTTTTTCTTCTTGATTTTTTTTTTGTTTTACTTCACATGAATACAAATACAAACATAGAGATAAACATGCTAAACAGTACTAGTGGATCTGTGTCCACATGGTTCAGGATGGAAGGCGCCGAAAATATTTAATTCAAATAGGCACATTAGAATTATGACAGACAACCAAACAATAATAAGAAAAACACCGTAAAATTTTGTTAAACGACATCGATTGAGAAAGAATGTTATAAGAAATGTAATAAGTGCAATAAACAAAACAATTGTTGAATATACTAAACCTCGTGATTGTATTTCAACAAAAAATGGTTCATTACTACTTGATGATGTTAATATATCATTATTGAAAACTGAAATAGAATCCGAAGAACTTGGTGATAATACTCCTATAGATGAATCACTCATTATTGATCCCGTTTCAAGTGGTGAAGGTTGATGAGTAAAACGCATTAAATTTCGAAATAACCATGGTATACCTAAACCCATGAGAATATCAAATACGTTTGAACCAATTGAACCTGCAATAGCCATTTCAGGATGACCACGTCGTGTCATAACAATAGCTGAAAAGATTTCTTCTATTGATGAACCAAATGCTAACACAGTTAAACCCATAATACTATCTGGAATATTTAAAGTAAAACCAACAATAACTACAAGCCATACAAGAAGATAAGCAAGACCGGCAACCTAGATTAAAAAATAAGTATAACAAAAATAAAAAGGTTTTCTAAAGAAAACATATCAGTCATTAGTCTAGTTCCGCAAAATATATACATTCACAAAGAAAAGAATCGAAAAGGAAATGCTGTCTCTTTCTCTCTCTTTCTCTGTTACTGTCGTTTTCTTCCGGTATTAAATGTGCTCGTTTTTTGAATGTTACTAACCCATATCGTTGACATGACAAATGTAAGCATATAATAATTATGAAAAACTTCTTTTCGACAATCAGGTATTGTTATATGCATAAGTAAACGGACCGGATACATCAATACCCATTTTAATATTTTATATCTCTTTGTTGGTAATTTCAATGGATCAAATATTTCTGTTGCATTAGCAACGATTTGTTGATTATCAGGTGTATCTTTAAGACGTTTTTTACTTGGTTTATAAGGTGTACGTCGTTTTCTATGATCATCATCAAGAGCTCCTATTGTATGTGTTCCTATACTAGTCATAACAGATTCTGAAACTGATCGACCACGTGTTGTTAAATTTTCTTCTAATTCAACATTATTATTATTTAATGCTCGTAATTGTTCTTGTGGATTTTCATTTGATGTAGATGTTTTTTGATTTGATAAATTACCATGTATAAGGCGTGATAAACGATCATTAAATTTTAAAATAGCGACATAAACAAAATAGAGTAAAACTAATGCAAACGCTTCATACCAAAATACACGTTGATCATAGATAATTACGTAAAGAACAGCAACAGCAATACAATAAAAACCTGCATCTCGTACAATTGGATATGCATCAAGTTCACATATAGTTGTTGATATAAGTGCACATAAAGCAATGACAAAAAGAATATTGAAAACAGCTGAACCGACAATAGTACCCACTTAAAACAAAACAAAAAATAATGATGTTAAAAAATTTTTCAATAAATCTTCAATGACATAAACTCCTGGCTGTGTTTTTTTGCTTTGTATAATATTCATAAAATAACATTTCTTTTCTTTGTTGTCTATAATTAAACTAAAAATTGATTATCTATTTAATATAACTATATAATGGTACTTGTTTTTATTACAAAATTGTTTATCGGTTCGTTAACGATGTTAAAAAGTTTAAAGCTAGAAAAAAAACAACTATTAACTTACAAGCAATATCCGATTTAACAAAGAAAACTCCAACGATGGATGTAAAAAATTCTGAAGCTGATGTTGCCAATGCCATAAAGGTTGCGCCGGCAACATCCTATGATTAGATGTGCATTATAAGATTATATCTGTGTGCGTGTTTGGGGATTTTTAAATACATACCGGCGTTAAATTAAAATTGTAACTTATTCTTTCTAATGCTGATGCAAAATAATCATCACAAACAATTTCCATTGCTGCAAATGAATATAGAATAAGAGCTATATGAACAAGAATACCACCACGACGACGTTGTTCATGTGTAAAAAATAATGGTGGAAATTCATCAATTGATGCTGATTCACATTTATTTGTTTCATGTGTTGTTGTTATTGTAGCTGTTGATATCAATTGTTTAGCATCTGTTTTATTTATTGAAAGAGTATTTGTTGTTAAAAAAAATATTTGAAATATAACCGTAAAAAGAACAATTAAAACGTATTGTCGTCGAATCATAATAATTGATAGAAAATATTTTAAATAGTGGAAATGTAAATTATATTTCTCGTCATCTATTATGTTACAAAAAACAGATCAATATATATATATATACCTTGACGATTACTAGTTTAACAACTTTCAAATAGAAAATACTTTATGACATGAATGACGTTATATTCATTCCATCTGTTCTTTTCTATTGATCTCATATTGGAAAAAAAATTATTTTTAATTTTAATTCTGCCATTCATATTCGATCAAAAAAAAAGGAAAAAGCAAGGTAAGAACGACGACATTGAGAATAATGATGCCAAACAAATATGAATTATTGAAAAGAGAAAAATATATAGATTTTCTCGACTTACCTCATGTCAGTAAAATTACCATGTTCCTTTCATAGTTTTCTTTTCTTGATAGATTTAGCTACTTTTATTCTTACTTTTGACAAGTGCTCAATTGGTTGAGGATGAGAAAAGTACTTTTTTTCGTCTTATCTGACTGTTCCTCTTAGTAGGCTTTTATATTTACAAGCTACTTGGTCGTCTGCTCTAGCAAACAATCACTATCACATCACTTATACGTCATCAACCTCATCATCATCATTATCATCATTGTTGCCATCTTTATCAATGTCGTGATAACTAGAGAGCAAGAGAGACAGAATGAGAACGACAACGGCGGCTCTATATACACAGCGAACAAAATTATAATCATAATAAAAATGATTGTTTTTCCTTTTGCGTTCCCCTTCTCTCTCTATAACTTTGGTCGTTACCCGTTTGTCACTCGGAGTTCCTCTCCCCCTTTCATCTCTCGCTTTCTCTGTCTCCTTTCTCGCTGTGTGACATCAGGAAGAAAAGTATAGTTAGCTAGTAGAGTCTATTGTATGAGAGAATAAAATGACAGACGACACAACGGTCGACGACGAGGCTACTAAATCAGCTCTTCTTCTTCTTCTTCTTCTTCTTCTTCTTCTCCTTCGTTGCTTTCTTCTTCTTCTCCTTTTCTCGTATTTCTTTGCTTGCCACATAGCACAGGATACAAGCGAACAAGATCTATTGCTGATGTTTC